TTAATGGTGTAGATAAATAAATGCTATTCATCTGTCTCATATTTAATCATAATTGTGGTTCAGAAAACTGTCACCGATCATTATCTGTTGGCACTGAAAGTGGCTTCCCACAGTTGACTTTGATCAGTGCGCTCAGTACCGCCTCTGAAGTCCAGTCAACACCCTAATCAACCAAATTTTATGCATCCGATGAATTCTTGGAACCAAACGAGATTGTATGTTTTCAAGATCTCTCTTTTCATAAAAGGTAAACAAGAAGCTGACATAAATGTATGTCGATAATGCACTCACTGGTTTTCAACATTTGGAAAACTATTGGTTGAGCACCAACTTTTTTCATTGTTTATTTCAGTTCTATCTATACTCTTAGAGAGACCATATCATTTCTGAAGACCATCCAAATGGCAACTATTCGATCTGCATCACACGCTGGTTCATGGTATACAGATGATGGTAATTTCATTACTCTTTCGCACGAATGCTGTTATTTGAAGCGTCGGAGCTAAGTTCGCAGCTATCCACTTGGCTTGATGCCGCCTCGTTTGGATCACAGCCTGCTCGTGCTATCATTGTGCCGTGAGTAAATTCGAGTCATTAGACCATTGCTTTCCATCCTCATTTTCATTAGACATGCCGGGTATCGGTACTCAGGTGCATGTGCAGCTTTCGGATTCAAGCAGATTGATTCGGAATCGACGTAAGTTCAACGGGTATAGATGCAATGACTTCTGCTTTTCAGCAATCGTCTGTTTATTTTAGGGCCTAGCCACCACGTTGACATTGGTTCGCGTTGTGCTTTGTCCAAAGCAACTGTTTGTCGCACTCCACTATATGATTTGAATATTGATCGTACTGGTAAATATTCAGTGTTCACTATGTGTTGAATTGTGCAGTTTACGAGGAATTGAAAAGCACGGGTGAATTCATATCATTTGCCCTCGGACAGGATGAAGATGAACATTCAATCGAAATGCAGTTTCCATACATTGCAAAAGTTATGGAGAGGTTAGTAGATAAAACATCACTGCCATGATCATTTTAACCAACGTCTTCACCATTATTGCCTTTAGTTACTCTTAGTTTTATTTCTTGCAATAACAGCCGAGGCAAGCAGCAAAGTTCTTTTTCACACTACTTGTACCGTAAAAATCACCGTACTTTTTTCATTCATGAATTGGACAACCATAATGTCTGGTATCTTTCACGTGCACTGAGTTATCAATACCGTTGATCTCCTCCTGCCCATAAGTTACTCAGAGTCAGAATTACTCTGAAGAACAAAAGTGTATCTTCAGTCTTTCNTTCCAGCGGATTCTACTACCTTTAATTCCAAACCTGTGTCCAGAATGACCTCGGTCAAGTTCCTGGCTGTCACCGTCAACAGAAATCTTCGGTGATCCACATACATTTACAATTGTTTTGGAAAACTGAGACTCCCCTCTTTTCATTTACGCAAACTCAGGCAATTTCGAACCCCACAGTCAGTCCTGTCCTTGTTTGTTCACTAATGCGTTTTACCTATTATAATCTATTGCTGATTGAAGTGTTTGCCGACCTTTTAAAGCAAGACTTCAAAACCATTCATCGTTGTTTGATGATAATCAGTCGTGCATCATTGATCCCAGTCGATTCATTAATCACAGAACTCGTGGTTTAAATTTGCCAATCAGATTCTAGTCATCCAGCTTCATTAACTGCATCCTGATCTGTCATCTTGTCGTGCCCATCTGTCCACACGCTTCTCTTTTCGGCATCTACCCTCTCGTATTAAAATTTATAAAAATTCTCCTGGTCCGTCTCCTAACCACAAAGTAACAGGTCGCAAGTGAATTACGCCAGAATTTTTGCACATGAAACCAACCTCAGCACCATTCTTCACTATGCATGTTATATAAAACTATATTTTATTCCGCTTGACGGCAAGTGTATATTTTTAACTGAAATGTAAGCATATATGCTTACACAAGTTATACAAATACAAAAAGTAAGCTTTCCGGGGATATGATCTATGCGCGAATATTTATCCATCTTTTTCTGTCATCAAACAACCGATCATAACCATAAAGCATAGAGTGAATAAAATTTGACGTGAACAGGGACACCCAAAGTTAGTTGATAAATTTCTCGAACAGCATACGTACCTGCAACTTTTTGCATACAGGCACTACCTCAACACGACAAACAGCAAACATGAGGATCAACTACTCACCAATACGAACTTCCAACTAGAGCACCAAGACTTGTAGTGATGAACTACATAAATTCCAAATAGAATGGTGTGACGCTCAACTGGGTAAAACCAAAGCAGTCTACCTCCAAATTGAACAGTACTACCGAGCTTTGAACCTCAACTTTTGAGGGCGGGTGCACACTGTTTGACGATCGTCACAATAACAGCACTACTTTTCGCCAATAGAATCGGTATATGTAAGCGACCGTTTTATTAGTTGAAGGTTCTGTTTGTAGAAATGCTCACCGACAATAACCGCCATTCTCAGTTCAACTTTAGTGAGTCTCCGTCATCCGTTCTGTGTAACCACTGTCTACCTGAATTGGCTGTCTTCACTGGGATGTTACTTCCAGCATTCCAATCTTCTCTCTACTCTTTCATTCAAATGGGTAGCCAAAAGGCAACAACCATAACGATCACACGAAAGTGCATAGTTAATGTTTGCATAAACTGAACTACTATTACACG